TTCCACCGGCTTATCCAAGCATATCACACATGTGGAAGATGAATCATTGTTTCCATCATCTTCCTTCGTTTCAATATTGTTTATAGCACTCCTTTCAATTGGTGGCACAATGAAATAAACAGGGCTGGAATCTATAGATGGATAGTGAATGGGACCTCCGTACACTACCTCATCCAAAATTGGCGGAACTGAAGGAACTGTTATAGAAGGAGGTGATTCCTGAGAAGAGCAAGAGACAGTTGGGGCTTCAGTTTGTTATGTGTGAATCTGTGTTGCACTGGCATTTGGGTTTGCAGAGGAGCTACCCCAATCATTTGTGGCATCGATTGGGGAAACTTGTTGCCCATGAGGAAGAGAGACACCCTCTACTAAAGCTGTTTGGATAGAAGCATTGATGGCCATAGATAGTTGGACATCTTCTGGGATTGGTGTGTTAAGTGCTTGCAAATGGTTGGGCAATGGTGGAGCAGCTGATGGTGGAACGGGAACAATACTGCTATGCTGTGTGAGAGAGAACTGATGTCAAAATATAAACGTTTCAGAATGGATTATATTTATGAAATGGAATGGATAACCAGTAGCTGTAAACCAATAGTTAGGCATTCATTGTGAAACAAAAATAAATAAATAAAATAAGTTGCATGTATGGTATGACAGATGCACTTGAATGCAAAATGTAAAAAAATGTTCGCAAGCCTTTCAACACGTGATCAATGGCAGTTAGCTTGGACTAAACAAAAGATCCAACTGATAAATCATTAACATATTCTGCATTAAAAAATCATATTTAAAAGAAGAGACAAAAGGGAAATCCATCACAAAGAAGAGACAAAAGGGAAAAAACATCACATTAACGACAATATATACTGAAAACTTGGAGCACATCTTGAAGAGCATTAACACACTTTGGAAAGCTACCTTTGGCAGCTTAAGCAATTTCAATACATGTGGGTTTACTAAAAAGCTGTTTTAAGATGCAATAAAAAAGTCTTCCCAAATGAAGTATGAATATGATAAAAGGTCCATTCACAAGTAAATGATTCATAAGGCGAACTATATATTTTTGAAAAGAATGTTTATTTACCTGAAAAGCAAGAATCAATAAAATTGAATCAATGTGCAAAAGGTTTTAGCTTAAAGAGTAGAAATAATGTAGTTAATTATTTTTTTTTTTACTAAAACATGGTCAACTAGGTTCAAGTTCAAGGTGGCATCATTGCATAAAGAACCGAGTTGTGAAACTTTTTGCCAACAAGCAGACAGTAGCGTATTCTAGATTTTTTCCAGTTTTTCTTTGCTGCACTGTTAACTATTTTCGTCATGGCTAATTCCATTTTTTAAATTCAATAATAACTTTACAAGTATCAATCAATGATTCTAAGCTCATTTTGAATGAACCTAAGGATGAAGTCCAGATTTATACGTGGAAGGATGCTACACTTATGTTTCGTTTGGGATGGCTTTCTTATTGCTTCTTAAAATACCTTCTTAGTATAAAATTTTATAAAATTTTAAATTTTTGTACTACGAAGCTACTTTAAGAAGCAAAAAAAAAAAATCGTCCCAAATGAAGTCTTAGAGAGTTCACTGATCTGGTATACATTTGAAAACTATCTGTATATTTTTTATGGAATTTCCTATTTTTTACAGTGCGGATGGTTTTATTATTAGCAAGTGAAACTTTTCATGGTGGTTTTATTATTAGCTACGAAAAGAGATGCAAAACTTTCATTTGCATTCGTCTACCCTGAACAGAATGGTCGTTTTGTTGTATGACCGGTAAGAGTACCATATCTAATTTTTATTTGGTAATGAATTTTTGTCCCGGTGAATAAGATGGAGAACCAATTGGGCATAAAGATCTAAAAGCACAATCTATTATAAAAATTGTATTGGATTTTGGACAAAAATTGCATAAAAGACTATAAATTTATTATCACGCATTTTATGAAATGAACTAGCATCCACATTTGATTTGCAACAAGAATAATAAGCACGCGAACAAAATACACTTTGGAATTAATCCCTTAGTTGTAGATCTCATGTTGAAGCCTATTCAATTTTGTGACAAAATTTAAATTCATGTACATAAAAAGAACAGCATCTACTACAACCATCAATAATCACAGTAGACCAGAGAGTAATTGATCAAAGATAGAATCATCAAGTAAAATAACATAAAGCCTCAGAACCTGATCGATCTTGGCACGACAAAGTGGAAAGTCCCCTTTCTTCTCTTTCATCTTTTTTAGCCAAGACATGCATCCATCCATATGACCACATGGAATGCAGGCAACATCCACTTGCTTCTCTAAGATCCACTTTTCTAGTCACCATATTCATGTTCTTAAATGAAGAAGTGCTGCGGCACCTTCTTTAATTTATTTTTAGCTTTAGAAAATAGTAAATGCATAAGAATATCGATCAAATATATTTTGCTTCAAATTAAAATATGAACAAAATAAAAATGAAAGACAACAGTAATCCCAATCAGCCCTAAGCATCTAACTCTTTGATATACCTGCAGATCAGGATATATAGCTAGCTCAAACTTCCTTGGATTTGTGGGATTACGAGAATCACAGGGTACAACAACAGCCCAACTGTTAAATAGAAGGCAATTTAATAAGAAACCATGCATATTAATACAAAACTACTGAACTTCTAAAAACTATTAGCATAATAGATCATATAAAGAGAAAATAACAATACAAACATTTTCTTTGACACCCATTGAGAAGCAAAAGCTTCCAAAATGCTTAGCCCATGAATCTCCCTTAGCTAACCAACAAATAAATAGATACAATTCAACAATGAAAAGAACTTGATAATGCAATGTCTCCAATTAATATAAATAGAGAGATAAAAGAGGAGCAAAACTTAAGCCATTCCGAATTAACTTTCAACAACCTCAATAGCACGCACAACATTGGAATGCCCTTTGGCTCTGGCCAAATCAAGAGGGATTTGGCAATCATCATTCATCACTAAAGGATTTGCTAAAACATCAAAGAAAATCTTCATTTCATTATACATCGTATTATGAAAGTTTTCCATGCAAATCGCTTAAAAAGATATACCTCCATGAGAAAGAAGTAGAATAATAGTACCATCAAGGCCTTTTTTTGCAGCATGATGCAAAGGGGTTCCTGCATGATTGCCTACGGTAAAGAAGTATGAAATCTTCATATTAGCTGCAGTTTGGATTTTAATACACAACTACTAAATTTCTAAAAACTATAAGAAGAATAGAATATATGAAGAGAAACACAATACAAACATTTTCTTTGACACATATTGAGGAGAAAAAGCTTCCAAAATGCTTGGCCCATGAATCTCCCTTAGCCAACCAACAAATAAACAGATACGATTCTACAATGAAATGAACTTGATAAGGCAACGTCTCAAATTAAGATAAACAGAGGGATAAAAGAGGAATAAAACTTAAAGCCATTTCAAATTAACTTTCAACAATATCTGAATAGCACGGACAACATTGGAATTTCCTTCGACTCTGGCCAAATCAAGAGGGGTTTGGCAATCATCGTTCATCACTAAAGGATTTGTTGAAACATCAAAAAAAATTTGCATTTCATTATGCATCGAATTATAAAGGTTTTACATTCAAATCGTTTAAAAAGATATACCTCAATGAGAAAAAAGTAGAATAACAGTACCATCAAGGCCTCTTTTTGCAGCATGATGCAAAGGAGTTCCTGCAAGACTGCCTACAGTTACATAAAGAAGTATGAAATCTTCATATTAGCTACAACTTTTATTTTCACTCAGTGAGCCTACTCCTAGGGCACCTAGCTTTCATATGTATGACTTTTAAAGCGATCCTCTTCTCCTCTAAATGAAGTTGTTATGACAGCAAGCTATTCATTGAAAGCTTGACTGTTTTCAAGGAGTATCTTTAATATACTGCTAATTTTAAATAAATATTTAGAAATATTTAGTATGAATGTCGTCAACATGCAAGAGAGATATTGTAGCTAAGGCTTTATTTGGGAGGACTCTCTTACTATTTCTTAAAGCAGCTTTCTACTACAAATATTTTAACTTTTGTATTAGAAAGCGGCTTTAAGAAGAAGTATGAAAGCCGTCCCAAACAAAGCCTAAATTGTGGAGCTAGCCCAATTAATACCTCACGAATAAATTTCTTACGCAAATTAAAACTTCGTTTGTGATGGTTTTCTTGATGCTTATTAAAGAAGTTTTCTATTAAAAAAATTAATTTTTGTACTACAAAGTTGTTTTAATCAGTAAGAAAGTCGTCCAAAAGGAAGCCTAAATATTTTGAGAGATGTTTTATTATCTTTTTTTTATAAAGACGAACATGATCATCTTTGGATGATATTTGAGAGATGAGGACTTTAAAATACTCCACAAGGACCACAACATAAGCGAAAACATAGTGAAACCTAGAGCGGAGAAGCAGGACAGGAATCAACTGGAATAATATATATAAAATTCTTAACATGTTTAGTGTGGTTATTTTATTTTATTTTTATCTTCATTGATTTGAATTTGATCTCACTTAATTCCCAACAAATGCAAAATAAAGTTACAAAAAAATTCTGCATAGAAAGCAGAAAACAACAAGAAATACTTGTTTAGAACTGTACCTGGTTGAGCTTGAAGGAAGCACAAGCCCGCCACGCTCTTCCAAGACTTGACAGAGCCTTTAGGTGATAAAACGGAAGTACCTAAGATGGTAAAAAAAACCAAAAAATGAAAAAAGAATATTAAAACTACAGCAGGATTCTAAATTAAAGTGTCAACAACCAAGTTATTTGTAAAATTGATTTTGCACTAAACTGTAAGCAACTAAGCATATTGGTCTCCACCGACTTTGTGTCAACACTAAATTGTTCAATTTGACGCAATCCTTATGAAAAAGATAAATAATTTAACAACCATAAGAATTATTTCAAATAATTTAAGAATAGTAAACAAAACTCATAAGTTAATCATCATAAGCAGTGAAGCTCATGTTTGAATTTTTTTGGTAAATGATAAGTAATAAATCTCAAAATATTTGACTTGAATTTGTGATCCAAAGAAATAACATTTTCCTTCAACCACCAGGCCACAAATTCTTTCACAAATTCAAGCATTTCATGGAAGAACTAGCAAACAAAAAAGAAAACTTGCAAAACTGGAGTTACGAGATGGGACCTGCTATTATTTTGGCTTCTCTATGATCCTCCTCAAGCTTGCTAACATTCTCACTCAAAGCAACATAAGCAGCTGCACAAAGTACTCCAAGTTGCCTCATGCATCCACCTAAGGCTTTCCTAAGCCTTCTAGCCTAAAATACAGTAAAAAGTAGGGTGAAAAGCAATGCTTAGGGATAGTTCTTAGTGTTAATTGAGATGAGAATATCATTTTGTTAGAAAGAATGGAGGAAATTACATAGGATGAGGTCTTGACAATTTTTTGGAAAATTTTTATTTATTTATTTTTTTAAGAACTATTCTTGATCATAATATCTTTATAAATGACTTAAATGAAAGAAAATAAATGTCCTAAAGAATCTCAACGACATTCCTAAAATTTGCATATGGATTCTTTATATAATCCATAATATAAAAAAGCATGATGAATGCATCAGATTTTAGGTTGATCAGCCTACAATAATAAAAAAAAGGACAAAAGAAATAAAATTATCACAACCTCTGAAAGTTAAACAAAGAAAAACTAATTAATGAAACTTCAATTGATTAGCCCCCACTCGGCCTCACTGCACAGTTTTTTATATATGAAAGTCTAGCAGCAGCAACATTGGAGGGTAAGGCCACGACATAAAAATGTTTATATGTTGCATTTATGGCTTCCTAAGATGAGCTGAAAGACCCCACATGTAGCCAAACATAGCTGAGGTTTGGACAATCAGTACCATAAGGAATTGTATAAGCAATAAAGCTACATATTTTATGATAGGTAAGAGCATAATATCAAAGATTTTGAAGCAATAGATAATTGAAAATAGCTCAGGACGGCAAAAGAAGATACTTGAAATATGCAATTGTCACAGCTATCAACAGTTACAGAGGAACTAAGAGGAAAACGGGTCAATTATGTTCTTAGTTGCTGCGGCTGCAGCAAAACTGAAAAGAACCAAGTTCGGTGAAAGATTCTGCCTTGAACTGAATAAGACTTTAAAAAAAGAAAGAGTTCATATGCACATTTCTAAAGGTTATACTCTACCGTATGAGAAAAAAAATGTTAAAACATACGAAATCAAATGGAAAATTGAAATCCTTTTTGGAAGAAATACTGTTTCAACTTCAATTCCTCTGTCAAAATCGCGCTGAACCGAAGAATCCGTCGTAGCCCGCCTCTTCGTGAATGGTGAACGAAGAACTTGGGTATTCTTTCCTCTCCTTTATATAGTAAAAACCCTAAAAAGCCTCCATTGCCAAATCGGAGCACTTGGTCGACCGCCATCCACCAGTTGCTCTCCACCCATACGTCTCTCGTCTAAAGAAACTCCCAAGTTCAGCCATTGGCAAGTGAGGAAGATGACGAAATAATCTAGGCCAGGATGGGCTTATGCACTTCTCCGGCTCATGCTGAGTGCGAGCTTCGGAGGATCCTTATCCATTACACATCAAATTTCTTATAGAAACTCAAAAATAATTTTTCTTTTCAATTTTTTTTTATACAAATTAATAGCGAATATTTAAAGACTAAAGTTAAAAAAGATAAACAATGATGTTCTTACAATGAATTCTATTTCTTTCATCGGAAAATTTAGGAAAAAATTAAATTTTGTATAAATTATTTTCAAGAGGAATTTAAATATTTAAATAAATTTTAAGAGGGATCATCAAATCAAATACCATAAGGACTCACAACTTGATGGATAGTCTCCAAGAGGGCAAGGGTAAGGGCGATTGTGAGGGAGAGGCTGAGTGCGAGCATGAAACAGCGAGGGCGAGAGAGGGCGGCGGTAAGTGTTTTTGTGCAAGCATGAGAGGGCGAGTGTGAGATAGAGCTGGAGTGGGCGAGGTAGCTAGGGCGAGTGCAACTTTGTGGGCGAGGCATTGAGGGTGAGGGCGAGGGCAATTATGCGAGCACGTGCGGGCAAGGATAGGCCTCATGGGTGAGAGTGACGGAAAGGCCTCGAGGGCGAGGACTAGGACATAAGTATGGGCGAGGGAGAGGGTGAAGGTGAGGGCAAGGTCTTGAGGGCAAGCAAGGGAAAGGTCGCGCAGGCAAGCGAGGGTGAGGTCGTGTGGGTGATTATGAGAGCTAGTGCGGGGAAGAATGCGGCTGCGAGCGCGTCGGGTTTTTGAGTCGTGTCATATTTTACAATTAGTCCTATACTCCTACACCCCACCTCATCTTTCTACCCCATCTTCACTTCTCCTCCCTATCTATTTTCTCACTCTCTGATGAAATGGATTTGTGTGGAATATAATTATGTGAAGTAGATTTGCAATGGGATTTTATAATGCCCGAAGACAAAAGGCTTTGCCTACATATGTGCGGATTGATTCAAGGTAAATAGGTGATGAAGACAAATGGAGCATTACTTGAGCTTCTTTCCTACTATTTGGGGCCACCTCAAATTGCTCGGTCAAATGAGATAATTTTTCCAATCAAATTTTGGCCCACAATGATTTACCTTCTAACAATACTAATTTGATAAAAATGCTATAGTTTACTTTAACCGAGATCAACATGGTGGAGAGATGATTAGATGCATTATTATTTAAGAGGAAAAAAGGATTATATATAATGTATGTTTTCTATCATATATTTAAAAAAATGCAACCGTCTAAATTTGACAGCTATCACGAACATGCAGGTTCGAGAAAGAGGTGCAGACTCCTCGAAGGCCAACGTATCACACTTGCAAATTGCAATCAAAGAAAAAGTCTAAATTAAGGCTTATTCCGAGTAATATTCTTTTCAATATTCAAATTAATAAGTTCTTAATAAATTTGAGCATTTCCACTAAACAAAATAAAACATTTGGAAAATTTAATTTAATAAAAAAGTAGCATTAATTGTTGAAGCTTTCTTGATGCAATGATGGGTATAAAGTTTTTATTGAAGATTCAAATCATGCAATGATTTATATTTAATTATTTATGTAATTGATCACCAACAAGAATAATAAATTTATTAATTCTTTTCATGAAGCCTTATATAAGAAAGAGCAGTAAGAGGAAAATGAGTAAGCAGAAGATAAAGGTTTCTACGTTTGGGAAGAAATTATTACATGTGATAACAAAACACCATCCGGAGGCGAATTTTAAAACGCCTATAATATACATATTGGCATTACCAAGCATGTGCAACTTCGTTTGATCGAATATACATTCCCTAATTTCTTATGATTATATTGGTACGTATAAACACCTTAATAAAATTGATTTTGTACTTTTTTTCACTGTTACCTTTTGATCATAATATAATTAGCTTTAACTATTTTTTATTTCAAGATTAGCATATACTTTTATAGTGATATACATGCTTAATTAACTAAGTATTATGACCTTATATTTGCATGTTTATGCTTAATTACATGTTCATTAGGATCTGTTCATAAATTGTTTTTAAAAATAGCTATTACAAATGGTTTTGACAAAAAAAATTCATATCTAATTAATATAAATCTATGAGAGTTTGATTTAAGAAAAGAAAACTATTAGTTATTTAAAAAATAATATAATAACTAAAATCATTTAAAAATTTATTATAATGACCTATCTCTTTACAAAATGTGTCACTTTGATAAAAATTAAAATCATAAACCATTGGCAATAAATTAGAATATCATGAATAATTTATTCTTAAAAATAAATATTATGAAAAATTGTTAATAGTAATCATGCTCATATATATATATTATGAAAAATATTTCTTGCTATTAAAATGTCTAATAAAATAATAATAAATTACTAACAAAAAAATATGATGATTATCTGAAATATTAAATTGATAAAAAAAATATTAGAAAAAATTCCATAATCCACAAAGCTTTGAGTCGTCTTTATTGAATAAATAATTCATCATCATTTCTCATTGTCAAATGAACAAAGATTATTAGTGCTAAAACTATAGCTATATAAAATATTACACATTTAGTCAAATAATAAATAATAAAATATATAATTTAGTGCATATTTGGAACAACTTTCTTCTTGAATTATTCTTTCAAAATGTAACCACAATTTCACTTAGCTACTACTTTCTCATAGTTTTTGGAATTTTAGTACTAAGAAATCGAAAAAACAGCTTCAAGCTCCAATTGAGCAATAACCCAATGAGTTTTCTTCTTTCCAAATGCACTTATAAACCTGCCTTTGTGGTCTCTTAAAACTCCACCAACTCCAGCCACATTGGATCTAAGCAAAGAAGCATCAACATTGATCTTGATCCAATCTTTCGGTGGAGGGCACCAAGTACTTTGAGACTCCCTTAGAAGATTAGCACCCCAGCAAGAAAGATAAGGACCAGAGTTTGATAAGGCTGAAAACATAGCATTCGAAGCAACCACAGAACTTGGCAATGCACCCTTACCATGCTTGACAACATTCCTATTCTTCCACGAATGGTATACTATATTAAAGTAAATCTGTACAATCCCAGAATTTTTCTGAGCAATGTGTTTTAAACCCCGTAAACAGCTATCAAGGGAGCTAAAAATCGGAATAGAAATACCCCATTCACCCATCTTAACAATAACATCAGTCATATATTTGCAATGTACCATTATATGCTCATAAGTTTCACTAACTTTACATCCTCTAGGACACCAATCATCAGTTGTAATCTTACGGTTCTTCAAAAACTGATTGTTGGAATTGCTGCCTTCCTAGACCTCCACCAAAAGACCTCTACCTTTTTCTTAAGTTTCAATTTCTGTAGCCAGGAGAAGTATTCAACATCCTCCATATTATATTTGTTAGCTAGCATTTGCTCATATACCAAAGCTGAACAGTCTTCCCCGAGCATTTCTTCATCAATTCCAGCTGATCCTCCACTTCAAAATCAATTTGAATATGGATGATCAAGGTCACCAGATCTAGGTGAAAAAACTTCTGTAAATTGATGTAATCCCACTTGCCATTACTAGATCAGTACAAATTGCTGGACGTAAACCCATTCCAATGACTTACAGTCAATAAAGGTTGGCCACCTGTTGATACATCTATCTAGCAACCATGTATCATTTAGAACATTAATCTTATCACCCTTTCCTACTCTCCACCTAACAGCCAATTTCAAACATTTACCCCCATCAACCAAAATTTGCCAAGCCGTTGAAGTAATCTTCCTTTGAGCACCATGCATCACATCATTCCCATATCTGGCTGCTATTA